GCTAATAGCTGAATCCAAGATGTGGCTAATAGCTGATCCAAGATGTGGCTAATAGCTGAATCCAAGATGTGGCTAATAGCTGAATCCAAGATGTGGCTAATAGCTAAGTCCAATATGTGGCTAATAAGCTAAGTCCAAGATGTGGCTAAAAGCAAAGTCCAATATGTAGCTAAAAGCAAAATCCAGGTTGTAGCTAATAGCTAAATCCATGATGTAGCTAATAGCTAAATCCATGATGTGGCTAATAGCTGAATCCAAGATGTGGCTAATAGCTAAGTCCAAGATGTGGCTAATAGCTGAATCCAAGATGTGGCTAATAGCTGAATCCAAGATGTGGCTAATAGCTGAATCCAAGATGTGGCTAATAGCTGAATCCAAAATGTGGCTAATAGCTGAATCCAAGATGTGGCTAATAGCTAAATCCAAAATGTGGCTAATAGCTAAATCCAAGATGTAGCTTATAGCTAAATCCAAGATTAGGTAGGTAATAGCTAATTAAATAAAATAGCTAATTCTGCAAAAAGTATATTCTCATAATCAGTACATACATTGAGTCAAAGTTGTAAAATGACATGTTGGTTAATTGAATTCCCACAGAATGTTACAATAGCCTTTTACAACACATAATATGTACCAACTGATGTCAAATTAAATGTATGTAATTCCAACAAATCTCTTAGTAACCAAGTAGTACCAAGTATTTTCCTCTGACTGCAGTACTACCTCAATATAATCTATACATTGGTACGAACATACTGGAGCAAACATCATAATTATCGATATACAATTGTTTGCAAATATCACTTTTTATTTTCTCATCTAGACCTTGTGCTCTTATTATATTCATACTTTAGTATACAGCACTCTTTCAAAACACATCTGATATACATCATTTTTTATCATTATAATTCATAGAAAGTAATTTTTAAAACATAAAAAGTTGGTGAAGGTGACAAAGTTGGCAAGTTGATAAAATGTACAAAACATTTAAAACATTACATAATACATGACAGTGCTTTTTATCTTTATATCATGTGCTGATCATTAAATTCAATAAATAATTACCATGCATATTGCCTGGTTGTGTTCAATCAAATATTTAAGAACCTCCTATATGTATATATTGTACACAATATGAAAGTGTATGTGATTGCAAATTTAAATATATATATATTATTACTATTATATATATTATGTCACAGTGTTGCATTCAACTTCAATGCTGTGCAAGCTATCAAAAATAAATCCTATCTATAATGGTCAAGTTTTATGTACATTATTTACAATACTTGATTGTTGATGTGTTGCTAAGACACCAGCCTCCATAAATATATCTCTACAAATCACACATGTTATAAAAAGTCCACAAATTGATCAGTTTGTTGTAATGATATATTACACAATATAAAACATATACTATCAGTATTTATCGTTTTCTGTCAGTATTTTGACACATTTTGCAGAGAAAGGAGTATATCTGCACCAAACACACACATATCCTGTCACTGAAGCCACTGGACCACCGCCTGGAAACATCTTATTGCAGAGGAAGCAGGAATCACATGAGGGCGGTGTACGCGGCATGTGAAATTGACATAAATAAGCTGAAAAATAAAACAGATAAAAACTTTTCAATTTACTATAACAACAATAAAATAGAAACAAGTTGAATGGATAGTAGTTTTGGAACAATAGTTGATGGTGTGCATAAGTGTAAGTATAAGAAACAAGTGGGAGCAAGACATAAATGTCATGGTTTCCCTGTTTGAAAAACAAAAATCATATTGAGAAAAGATATAATGTTAAGTTCACTAAAATATTTTTTTAAATTCTGAGTAATTTGTTTTTTGCATTTATGAAATTTATTGAGTAGAATGAAATTTCAAACTGAGCACACATACAAAGATTGTTCAAAATGCATACTAATTAGAAAACATGTCACTGGTAAAAGTTATTTAAATTTTTTTTTGGCAATAGTACTAAATGAAATATTAATGTTCCTCCATGAATTCCTTAACTTGCTACGATCACATTACAGAAAACAATGTTGGTTATTTTCAACAGTTTTCTGTATTCTGATGAAAACACTTCAGCTCATGATAGAATCAGTTAATCAGAAAGCATTTTGATACATTTTTTCTGAAAAGACAAGTTATTTCATTTCTCATGAATATTAATTTATGCAAATAATATTTTTCTTTCAGCCAATTGCATCATGGAAACATTCCATGATATCTACAAAACAATTTATTAGAAAATGCTGAAGACACACAGACAGACAGAGGCAGACAGGCAGACATTATTTATATCAAATGTAGTATGCATAAGGGTAAGGTATCATTAACTTTATTGAAAATATGTGTTTGAGTTATTATAACAAACCTACCTATACTGTCATCTTTCTTGAAATGAACAAATCCACCACAGATCACGCAACAATTATGATTTTGAAATCCACCGGGATTGAAAGCTCCCTGTTTCAGTTGACAAAAATGACAGATCATCAGCTTTTTACCAAATCCTGCCATCACATTGGTAATCTGTCTTTGACATCGGAATTGCTGTCAAATGAAAGGAATGCACTGTAAGACCAGGTCTTATCACTCACAAAATAGGAATAGGAAGTTATGTTCAAAATTTATTTAGAAAATACATAACAATATGCCAAATATTCCACCAAATTCAAACAAATGAATTAAGCTATAATGTTACAACTCATCATTGCTTAAAATTTAATCTTTGGTTATCTAATTTAGCACACAAAACAAGTCTATGAAAATGACACAGTCCTCGTTAAATTTTTGAAAGTTATCTTTGTGTTTGTCATATTAAAGCGAAGGGGTTGTCGCGAGCATTTCCTTGATACTTGAATCCTAAGTAGCAAATACAACAGATTGTTTATTTACATCAAATTCGAACACTTGTTGCGTGACGACCCCTCCGGTTTAAGACATAGCAAAGAAAAACATAGATCACAAGTGAAAGTGAAACAAATTAAGGTGCATGTCTATGTCTATTGCACTTGCTAAAATTGTTTAAACTATATTTAAGAAAATGTACGAGGATAGGAATGAGGCACTAAAATTACATTACCATACATAGACTATAAAATAAAAGTTATTGCTATCCTAGAAATTAATCCGCGAAAAAAATATTTGGTCAGTGCTTTTATAAATACAAGAATTAAACTTTAATTACAGATGTAAAATCCCAAATGTGGTTGGTAAAAAATGTGATGTACAAAGATTTAAGAAGAATGTAACCTACCCTGAGATACTGTGACTTGTGTGCCTGGTTCATTTGTAAAGAACGTTGATCTTTCTGGAAAAATTCTACCATTCTTTGAATCTGACCAGCTCTTTGTAAATGATATGGGAGATTTTGAGTAACAGCAAAGTTATTATTGTTATAATACTGATAAAAATCAGCTAACTCCAGATGACAGTTTTTACGGTTTTCCACATCCTGTAACCAGTGATCTTCAACTGCCTGTTTAAGTTAAAAATAATTATTAATGAAAACATTTAGTAAATTAATTAATTGATGGTGTGTGTTAAAAAGGAAAACATGTGGTTTTTGTTTTTAAAAGCTAAAATTTCAACATTACATTGTACAATGCTGATATATACAATATACAACACCTTATGTGCAATATATAAGATCTGATTTACAATATACAACATCTGGTCTACAATATACAACATCTGGTCTACAATAT